GCCTGACCAAGAACAACACGCTGCGCATGCTGTCCATGGATCACAACAATTTCGGTGAGCAAGGCATGGAAAAGTTTGCCGAGGCCATGAAGGCCAACAAGAGCATCGGTGTTGTGAGCTGTGACGGCAACGACGCGTTCACGTACAAGGCCCTGCAGGCGATTGAGCGGATCTTGCCACCCGTAGGTAACCCCATTGTGACGGGCGTGCGGACGGGCGACTACCAGCAGCCGAAATCGTACCCCAACATGTTCAAGGGCACAATGGAGGAAGCCCAGGCTCTGGGATACAACAGCACGCTGTCGATCTGGACGTTCAAGCACGAAGAGATCCAGATGCATATGGAGCTGCTGTCCAAGGAGGTGATGCGCCAGCTGGCGGAGCGGGACCGATGCGAGCTGCATGCGCGCGAGGCTGTCAAGGGCAGTGGGGCGATGCTGGCGGAGGCGATCCGGAAGCACGAGGCGGCGATCCAAAATCGGAATATGTACTTTGATACATACGAGAGGATTGTGCTCGCGATTCAGGAAAATGATCGCAGGACTCGTGTATAAAGAAAGGAATGAAGGCAGGCAACTTTGTTTTTTTTTTCTACTTGGATAGGATTGTATAGTATGCAATACTCAAAAAGTTTTATCAATGAATATTTGAACAAACGCCTAAGTTGACGAAAAAAGACCACGTCTTTGAAATGACGTGCAAATGGTTTAAGTACTGGTATTTCACGACCAGGTTTTGCCCCATTCCCTTCCTCGCCCTCCTCCTCCTCTTTCTTCTTACGTGCAATGCTGATCTCGAGTGTTACGTGTTTGCAGAGCGCCTTTGATTCTGGGACCCCAGTCGATAGAGTCAGCAGGGTTAACATTTGAGAATGGAGCGAGATAATTCCACGTCCCTGTGATATCCTTTTTTGACGCCCCCGTGAAAAGAGTAAGAATAAAAGCCTTTTCTTTGTTAAAAATATACCTTCACGGCGGGCATAAGACTTTGGGTGGGGGCGTGTTTTTTGCGGGCTCCCTTTTTTGAGCTGGTTTGCTAGCTCACAAAATACTCGAGCCGAATAACAAAATTTGACCTGGTTCCTTATGCAGACATGAAGAGTTATGTTGCATGCCCACAAAGGGTCCAAGATTTATGGCGTTAGAGTTGGAGGAGTTGGAGTCACCACACTCCTGCACATGAATCCAACACATTTTAGACTATGATACCATGATAACAAACGTTGTTAATTAACCAAGCATCTTTTGCTTGCTCCAAGTATCGGCTCATTCATACACTATGGATCCATTATCCCACTCCTCCACACGGCCGTTCTCATCTCATCTCTCCCGCGCAAGCACTCTTTTCTTCATCTACGAATATTAAACTATTAGCCGCGGTCATGGCTCGACGAGTATGTTGTGACGAAGAGATCATGGGTAAGGAAGGGTGCTTATAGTTTTGCACCGATGGGGTTATCCTCGCTGATCCATTTTGGAGTTTCTCAGGTATCCAACAAAATGCAAAACGTCTTTATTGACCAGGACAGACCTTCAGAACGTGTCGCAAAACCCCTTCTTTAATCGACTGAACACTAAAGTACTTATTTGAACAGGGAGGAACGAACCATCGAGATGGCGTCGTTGTCATTGTTTGGGACCATATTCGCTTTAAAAGCAACCTTTCTACTTGTTGTCGGTTCTGTCGACCCACACAATGGCGCGTATACTGAAATTCACCCCTACTCGTGGGTTTTCATTCTATTTCAAGCCAAACCCTCTTGGGATGCAAAAATGAGCCACGTTTTCTCTAGAACTGTTCAAAGTCGGTACATCAACTACAAAGCACATATAGGCACCACGACATCCTTGAGTATGAAGGTCTGGACATGCATGTAGGCTAGCTAAAGTTCTTTTTCGCGGTGCATAAGAATAAGCACATTACGCCCGACGTGAAATTATCTTTTCTACTATGTATTAAAGCCTCTCATGTTCACTCTATGTACGCCCCCCATACGAATACGAAATTCACGCCGGGCGTGAACTTATCTTTTTCGTTTGAGAAAACGTGTAACTTTTTCAGCGTTGAACACAGCTCCATCTTCTAGCATCCCATCTCGACTGAAACCCTCTTGGTATTTTTTTTGTGACCTTTCATAGCGACCCTCGTGAAGTGGTTTATTTTTTTCCTGACGAAAATTGAAATATGGCCCTTATGAGTCCTCCACGACATTAGAAATCATGGAAGAGTCGCTTACTTTTTAAAAAAAGAGCTACGATTTGTAGAAGGTCATCAACTGGTATTATGAAGATCATGGGTCCGACTTTTCCGGTTATTTTTCTTCTGACGATAATGTAGCCTGGGGTACCAGGATCCCAACGGTATTAGATACTACGAGTGCGTCGCTTATGAGAAGTTGAAGAGCTATAGTTTGGTGAAGGTTGAATGTAAGGGTGCTGGAACCAAATTCCATTTAAGGACAAAGGGGGCAAGAGGAGCGGGACAATCAGCTATCAGTTGCTTTGCTTCGTCCGACGACCTCAACGGACTTGGATCAGTATTCATCCTAGTCAGGGACTCTATCTGTGCGTCTCTCGAGTCCCTGGTAATTTCGAATAATAGGCTTCTGTAGTCATTTTATTCGGCAACACTATCCCAAAAAAAATGCGGTATCATGTGACTTCAAATACAGAAGTTTTTTATTTTCATTTCGAACAGCATGTTCGTTCCTGAAAGATATAGATGTATCAACATTCAGGGCACAATGTTCCGTAGCGGCACTCGCCAGATACATAGTCGCAATGGCCTTGACAACAGTCGAAAGACGCACCGCAAGGGTCACCACTTTGACCGCACATGGATTTGCGGAGTGATGCTTGATGACTAGAGCCCTGGGGGAGCCAGCGATCGAGGCATTCTTGGCGAGCATAATCGCCACTTACACAGAGCAGATGGTACTGTGGAGGGTACCCCTCATCCCTGCAGATCATGGGCTCGTTCTCGGCATGGGTGCCACGTGGGCAATCGTTGGGGTTTTGGACACATAAGCTGAAGGCAACTGAGGCAAGGGAAGCCAGAAAGGTGAGTTTTTTCAAATGCATTGTTGAGAAGACTTGAAGCGCGACAGATGGTGAAGGAGCGTTACCAAAAAGAAAAAGAAAAAGAAAAGAACTGGTATTTATGGTGTTTTCAATTGATGGTGCTCCATTTGAAAATGGAGTGGAGGATTATTTTGGTTCTCGGTCGAATGCGCAATGATGATTCATGACGCGATCCTTTTGTGTAACAATACGAAATAGTTGGATGAGGTGTTACATGCATTGTGCATAATGAGGTCTTTTCTTTGTTCATGCGCTGTGCATATCTCTTTTCTTTCGTTGTCCACGCCCTTGCACGTTCCCATACCCCTATTCTCTGCTCATGCGCTGTGCATATCCCTTTTCTTTCGCTGCCCACATCATTGTATGTCGCCATGGTACCTTTTTTCTATGAAACCTGTCAGATCACAGAACATTGTTGAAAGAAGGATGATTGAGTCCCCTACGATACGATAGGGGACATGAGTTGGGTTTAGACCGTCATGAGACAGGTTAGTTTTACCCTACTGATGAAATGTTGTTGCAATAGTAATTGAGCTTAGTACGAGAGGAACCGTTCATTCGGATAATTGGTTACTTGCTTGTACTTGAGCATGCAACTGTGCTAATGTACGAGGAAAAAAAAGGTACGCGGGTTGCGCTAGTTATGGTTTTAGTGCTTGGACTATTCGAGTACACGTGATATTTTGTTGTTGGATTATATGACATTAAGGGGTATATTCTTCTACATTAAATTAGAGAACTGGTAATCTTGTACGTTTGGATGTAGCCGAGGACACGCACGGTTCTGACGGACTTGCCAATACAGCCCTAAACAAGTAGATCAGTCAAATATCAGTGAATCCAGGTGGCTAGAAGGGGCGGTGAGAACTGAAGTTTCGAGACTGGGAGGCTGTCAGGGTCGTAGCGCCAGTCGATGTTGAGCGTGTTAATTCTCACTGCTTCATTCGGACACTTTATTCGGACACTTGATCTGTCAAAGAAACTCTAGTTTTCTGCCGTAGAGACAAACATGTTTTTGCTCCCAGCCACAGGGCAATCGCTCGCACGTTCACGAGAACAAGGTCCAGCGCTGCGTTCGTATAGAGTGCGCGGTGGAGGAAGAGCACGTCTGCGGCACTCAGAGACTGGCTGTGGCTGTAAATCACAGCCGGGACTCCAAGTTTCTTCAGTGCCACTTTCAGATCTCTCGATACTTTTGTTGGGGTTGGTGTCGAGTGATCTCCTTGTCTTTTTCCCACAGCAAGCCAATCGATGTCGTTCGCGTTTGCTCAATGTTGAAAAAGATTAGCAGTGCTAGGAGACGTGGTGGCAGCGAGATTTCTGGGGCAAGGATACAAAAAAGGAAACAAAAAGAAAAAGGTTCATTCTCTCAAAAGAGGCTGTCTGATGATGAAGGATTTGATGGCCACAATGGGAAGAGGCGACACTCTCTGGTTACAACAAATGACCACTATTGCTATCTGATGCATACTAGTCGGAGAGGCAAGGTGTGCCGAAGCAAGTCATGGGAATTGTGTCTACTAGCACGCAAGCAAAGGAGGGCCTTTTTTTTCTGTTCTCGTTCTTTTTTCACTCCTTTCGTCACCCAAACATATCGATACATCACAGATTCGATCCAATTGAGCACCAAATACTTTTTCAACCGAAACGCACTACCGTGTAAACACTGCTTGACTCTTGTCCGTCGCGTACAGACACGACTGACAGTTGCTAGAGTCTAGAGGTAGAGTACACAGCGCGACAGCAATATATTTACCACAGTACGATTTGCGCACTGAATCCATGAAAACCAAAAATGACAAATGCATTCCTTTCGTCGTGCAACGAAAAGGTCAGGGGCTGGTGCATCACTCAACTCGAAAAAAAAAAAAAAAAAACTCTAAAAAAAAATTCCTTGGACCCAGCCGGTCCAAAAAGTAGGGGCTCAACCGGGAATTGAACCCGGGACCTCTCGCACCCAAAGCGAGAATCATACGACTAGACCATTGAGCCGCCTCACGTGATCTCCTCGAGATCTTATTGGTTGAGAACTTCTCGATTTCCAAGATACAAATGCCGTCTACGATTCATCACCGCAGGCACCAAGCTAATACGATGGTATGCCGTCCCTTCTAGCTACTCGACCAACGCCTTTTGGAATTAAACGTATTTGCATGGCACACAATCGTTTATTCAGCAATTAGACGCACCTATTCTGGGACATAAGAGCGAGATTACGTAGCGAGCATAATCTCTCGCACCCGAAGTGCAAGTTTATGCCTCATAGCATGCCGAACCATCCTGTTTTCGAGCTGTATCATCGACTGATCATCCGATATATCATTCCAGACCGAAAATTT